CCCCAAAACCCCAAAACCCCAAAACCCCAAAACCCCATTTGGTATAAAATTGGTTGAAACCTCAATCAAAAGGGAGACTACAAAATGTCAAGGGGTTTTGGTAGGATCTCAAAACGTTGACTCTCTTGGTTACTACTATCATGAACTTTCTCATTGGAAGCAAGAGCTGTAGTTCTAACATCATTTTGAGGGGGATCTTTTGCAATTTTGATCGAGTTATCACCTCCTTGGAGGCTATCTGCTTGTGAAATATTATCTGAAGGCAAACCTTTTAGTAGGACTGAAGGTTCATCAATCTTGTTGTTAGTATTCAATTGCGTCAACATTCAGTTGATAAAACCTCCTGTTGGCCTTGAAAATCGGCGGAAATGGAAAGGTTTATTTCTGGACTAAAGAATGTTAGACAGTCCGTAGCACATTTTTTTAATTTTATAAAGAAAGCAAGAGCTTAGTTTAGGATACATATAAAAATCTATGGTTTCTGCCAACCTTATATCTTATGTAACTTTCAAACCCACTTAAATACAAAATAGTGCAAATCTACTGAAAAGGGAAAGCTTAAAAATAAAATTTATGGGAGCCTCTAATTTACCAAAGTTCTTTGGTTGGCCAAAATTAATCTATATCAGTTGTGAAAAGAGAATTTGGTCTTAAAAGAAAGAGGATGATACCATAAGACAAAAGATAGAGGTTAGGCTTACTGTTGTTAGGATCTAAGGAAGCTTGTTTATTCAAATGTGATTCATTACTCCTTTCATTTGATAAATCAGAGTTTTCTTGTACCACTAATTTTGCATTGATTTTATTCTCCTCTAAAGTATCTTTTGGCTGATTAGGGGGACTAGAATCTGAAGATAAAGGGGTTTTCTTGACCTCCTCCTCTTTTACTTCAGATATCCGAGATGAATCTTCTTTCATAGCCTTTATCTTTCTGATAAAACTATCAAAGATTTTTGGATTTTTAACATTTATGAGAATTGAGTTCTTGGTTGTAAAATTAAACCCGCTGTAAGGTGGCTGATATTTAGGGTCATTTTTAACTCCTAAGATCTCTGCCAAATCAACTTTATCAAAAGTATCCTTATTTTTAAGAAAAGGATCAGAAATTAGTTCCCTCTGGCTTATTCTGTCTTCTGGGTTAAACTGCAATCATTTATTGACAAGACTTAAAAATGAAAGTGAAACATTAAGATTTTTAGGAATCCCATATTCTCCGTAATTCACCTTTTCCGCCAATTCCTCCTGAGTCTTTCCAATGAATGGAGAAAAGCCAACCAGCAGCTCATAAATCATCGTACCCAAAGACCAAATATCAACTTTAGAATTATAAGATTCTCTGTTCATGATCTCTGGTGCCATATTAACAGGAGTTCCTCAGTAAGAAGTAGTCAGCTCGTCCTCTCCAATAGATCTTGCGAAGCCAAGATCACCTATGATAACTTCTATTTCTTCTTTTTCATGGTCAAATTCTTCAATATATTCATCTGGAACAATGCCATCTCCTTCATACTTTGGAAAGTTGAGTAAGATGTTATCCAGCTTTAGGTCCCTATGCATCGCCTCGTTTTCATTCAGATGGTTAAGCCCTTCAGCAATTTGCTTGGTGATCTTCTGGACTAATTCCTCTTCAAGTTTACCATCCTGGAGATCAAGGAATCTTCTGAGGGTCCCTCCGTTACAAAGTTCCATGAAAATGTAGATATTGTTAGAAGTCTTCTTGGCTTCAAGGAACCTGATTATATTATCATGTTGGATCTTTATCAAGAGTTCTATTTCTTTTATAAGGTATTTCTTATGAAGTGGGCTAATATTCTTAAATTTCACCATCTTGCAGGCTACTTTTCTACCCTTTCTCATCCTTTTACTAGCGGAGGGGGCTATTTTGGAATTCTTTTTAATCTGACACTGGTAGACATCCCCCATAGCTCCTTTGCCAATAATCTCACTGAGAACATAATTGTGTATCGATTTCATTATTGAGATAAAATATATTAAAATCTATAAAACTCTTGTGCTGTGGGGTTTTGGGGTTTTGGGGTTTTGGGGTTTTGGGG